ACCGGCACCCGCGCGGCGCCCGCCATGGCCGCGCCCGCGCGGGGCCGGTGGTGGACGTGCAGAGCGACAACCTGGGCGAGCTGTGGCCGTCCCTGCTGCTGGCGCTGCGCTCCGCCACCTTCGTGGCCGTGGACACGGTGAGCCGGGGCGGGGGCGCCGCCGGGGTGCGGCCGGGGCCGCGGGGCCGCTGACGGGTGTCTGTGTGTGTCTCCCCGCAGGAGCTGAGCGGTCTCGGCGCCAGGAAGTCGCTGCTGAGCCCGTGAGTGCCCAGCGGGGCCGGGGCCGGGGCGGGGGGCGAGGGGGGGCTCGTCCCTCGGTGCCGAGGGTTCACGCTCCGCTGTCCCGCCGCAGGTGCATCGAGGAGCGGTACAAGGCCGTCTGCAGCGCCGCCAGGACACGCTCCGTGCTGTCGCTCGGCCTCGCCTGCTTCAAGCAGCTCCCGGAGAAGGTGCGTGCGCGGGCCGTTTGCTGCTGCTCCCGCCTTCCCGAGAAGCAGCGGGGACGTGCCGGGAGTTGGGACCCAACCCCCGCCCCGCCGAGCTGCCCCCGGGCTGTTCCGGCACCCCTGTGACCTGTCCGTTCTTTGTCCGCTCTCCCGGCGCAGTCCGAGAACACGTACCTGTGCCAGATCTACAACCTGACGCTGCTCTGCATGGAGGATTACGTGGTGGAGCCCCAGTCGGTGCAGTTCCTGGTGCAGCACGGCTTCGACTTCAACAAGCAGTACTCCCAGGGGATCCCGTACCACAAGGGCAACGACAAGGTACAAACCCAGCTCAGGCTGCTGGGAGGGCACTGGCTGCTCCTGCTCCTGAGTGAGGGTGGGCTCACACTGCGGCCCTGAGTGCAGCATTGTCCCTCTCACCTCCCTGCTGCTTCACACCCAGGCTGTCGCTTGGTGCAGTTGCTTTTCCAAATGTTTGTGTTTGTTCAGAGCAGGTCACAGATGTGGGCAGTGTTGTGCTGGCACAGGCTCTGAGGGCTCCCCAGGGTGGTGGTAGGCTGGGGTGCTGAGGCTCCCTGACTGATCCTTCCTCTTGCAGGGCAATGAGAGCCAGAGCCAGGGCGTCAGGACACTTTTCCTGGAGCTCATCCGGGCGAGGAAGCCACTTATTCTCCATAATGGCCTGATTGACCTGGTGTTCCTGTACCAGTGCTTCTACGCCCACCTCCCCGAGAGCCTGGGCACCTTCACTGCCGACCTCTCCGAGATGTTCCCAGCAGGAATATACGACACCAAGTACGCTTCGGAGTTTGAGATGCGCTTTGTGGCGTCCTACCTGGAGTACGCCTACAAGAAGTGGTGAGCATCACTCTGGTACTTAGAGATCACAGGGGGAAGTCACTGTGTATTTGTTTTTCCAGGCAAGGGGGGGCTGTGTCCTTTCATTGTCCCACTGCCTGTAGAAAGGTGCTTTTCAGGTGACCCATGCTCTGTTTCTGGTATGGGTGCTGAGTGCACAGGGGTGCATTTTTTAATACACCTTACCTCTCTGTTGAGTAGCTGCTGAAAGAGGATTTCAAACCTAGTGCCAGCAGAGGACTGACCACAGTGACCTGATCTGAGAACTAATTGAGTCGCTGCCTGGTTCTGGTCCAGCAGTGCCACAGGGTCACAGCAGAAACACACATCCCCTAAGAGCTCAGAGAGCAAATGAAAACAGGGCTGCCCTGCAGGGTCTGCTGGTTATAACTCTGTTTTATGAGGGATGCTGCAGTTAAAGAGTGGGTGCTCCCTGCACCTCCTGACGCTGACCAGCTCTGTCACACACACCTGCAGCCCGCTCCAAATCCCATCACTGCCTTCCAAGAGAGGGTTGTGCTCTTGTTCGGGACACCTGTCTGTGCTTTGCAGTCTGGCCTCACATTCTGCAGTCTCCACACAATCTAAACAAGCCCCTGGCAGTGCTATACAGCCCCTGGAATCTCCAAAAAGCTTAAGTCATGCTCTGCATAGAGGAGAAATGGTATTTTTAGTGACTGTTTTATCTCAGGAAATGCCACTTTGACAGGTCTGAAAACATTCAAGATGGCTGTTCAGAAAACATCAGAGTGCTTTGTTTTGACAAGATAAAAATACCTTTTAAACTGACCTCTTAAATGTTTTAACCACAATTCTAGTTTCATGGAGCCTTCCAGAGGTTTTGGGCCTTTAAACCACCTCCTGGGACAAAACAGAGGTCAGATTCTTTTCTCATACGATGGAAACCCTTTCCTTTTCTGCATTGCCCAGGTTCAGCCTGCCTGGGTGGTGATGCTTCATTTTGGGGTGGTTTTTTTTTGTCCATTAATAGTATGAAAACTAACAGATATGCTTCCCTTAGTATTCAAAATCAAACTATGTGCCACCTTCTCCCATAGCTTCACCAGAGACAGTTTTCCCTGTCTGCATACTGGGATAAGAAAAAACAACCTTTAAATCAGTACAGAAACAACACTTACTTAAGCTGCTCTTCCAGGATTGAATTTCTTCCCAGCAAGCTGTGGAGCTCAGGGGCAGGAAACTCGTGGATCTGGGACTCAGTGGAGAGCAGGGAGTTTGTGCTGGCTCCACGCCATGGGCTCTTTGGTGAGTTCCCTTCAGTAACTGTGTGCTCCTGTTTGTTCCAGCAAGAGGGAGAACTCCAAGCTGAAGGACTCCAGTGGGCAGCACCTCACCGTGGAGTTCTGCAACTACCCTGCCAACATGTCCCGATACATCGACTATCGCTGCTGCTCCCTGGAAGAGGAAAGCCACAACACGGGAAACAAGGTGCCTGTCTGTGAGAAATTTTCGGTAGGTAACCTGAATCCCAGCTTCCTTCATGGCTCCGTGGAAAGAGGCACACCTGGCCAGAGCAGGCAGTGGTAGGGAAGCACATGGGAACTTCCCTTCACTTGTTTCACAGCAGAAGGAACATTTTCAGGCTTCATGTGGCTTCATGACAGAGAGGGTAATAGCACACCCTGCTTGGGAGGTGGGGAATTCTGCAGGCTATGTTAGATGGAAAGATTCAGAAGGAGATTCTATGGCCCTAAACAGCAGGATGGTGTGAGTTACAGTACCCACTGCTTTTGGGGGAGGGATGCAAGTTCTGTATTAGTTTGGCTTGTCCCTCAAGCAAGAAACACCACCTCTACCCTCCCCTGTATCTTGATTAGATATTAAAAAAAATGTTACCTGTCTGCAGCTTCTGGCACTGTAGCACAGGGTGACCCACAGCACCTCCTGGTGCTGCTGCAGTAGCAAACAGCGAGCCTGTCCCATCAGATTGGAACTGGCTTCAGGTGCTTCATGGAGAAAGGAGCTCTTCCTGATATTTCATTCTGTCACAGAACAACACAGGCTGGGGAAATCTCTGGAATTTTCTCATCCAGCAACCAACTCAGTGTTGCTCAGGGGCTCTAATTGAGCACAGTGTTCCTGATCCAGCCTCTCAAGCCCCTGGTGGAGGGGAATAATTAGCTCTGCTCCCTGTTATGGTGAGCGCTGCTCTAACCAGGAAGAGAGAGGCTACAGACTTCTTTCTCTCTCTCTCCTTAGGCCTATGGCTGGTGTCCAAAAGGGGTGAAGTGTCCACAGTCTCATAACATCGATCTCATCATTGATGAGGATGACAAGCTTTGGGAGAAGCGAAAGAAACGGAAGCACAGATGGAAGCATCGGAAGAACACAAAAGCATCTGCAAAGGCGTTCCTAGAGGAAAGCTCAGGGGAAAAAACAGAGCAAGCTCAGAATGGGGAGGAGGGACCACCACAGAAACAGAGCTGCTTTGAGCCTGCAGCTGCCACAGAGCTGGCAGCGATCGCACCCAATGGAGAGGGCAGGCCCCTGGAGGAGAACTCCATGGATGTGGAAACAGAGGTCAACTCAGACACCAGCACACAGTGGGAAGAGAATCTGGGGAGCACTGAAGGAACTGCTGTCCAGGTAGCAGTTGCCCTGAGCCATTCTGCCAAGGGCAATGCCTCTGACAGTGACCAAGTGGAGAGGAAGCCAGAGGTTCCTGCTGGGTTGGGCTCAGTCAGTCACCCAGACATCCCCAAGACTGAAGCAGCAGGTGCTGCAGGAAAGGAAAAGCAAACCCGTGTCCCTCCTTCCCAGGGGGGCACACACCGAGCTGGCTTTGATGCATTCATGACTGGCTATATCATGGCTTATGTCTGGATGCTCAAGCAAGGGAAAAACACAGACACTGGAGCAGGGCCCTGGTTGCCAGACTGCCATAATAAACTGTACCTCAGCGGGAAATCAGTGCCACTGCAAATTGTGAAGAGCTTGTTTTCTAAATCTTCCAAAGCCCACAGCGAGAAGATAAAGTTGGCCTGGGACAGTGCATAGAACTACAGAGCTCCTCACTAAACTGATTATTTTTTTTTCCCCTTCAAGTTTTGAAGCCCTTTATTCCATCAAGTCCTTTATTTCATCACCAGAAAGGGAACAAGTTCCTTGTTTCTGTTTTAACATCTGACCAATTAAATTGCTCTCAGCTGGAGTTCCCCCTGTGTTCCTTAGCAGCATATGTTGGGATGTGAAGGCAGTGGTGAGGCTGAAGAAGGGGGAGGAGAAGTGCACCTTTGGTTACAGCACATCCAGATGAGACCTCTTCTCCTACGGGAGAGAGGGGAAGGAGAAAGTTTCTCCCAGATGGACCAGCTGATTCTAGTGCAGGCTAACAGCATGCAGAACCAAGCCGTAGCAGGTCATCAGCCTTCTGCCAAGGGGAGATGCAGTGAGGGTGAAAGCCAGATGTGGTCCTGAGAAACTGCACAGCTTCCTGTGCTACTGAAGCTGTTCAGGGCTAGAACAAAGCAGCCACCATGGCAAACTCCCTGCAGGCTGCTATCAAAAGCTATGGCCTGCTCTTCTGGGCACTGTAACCCAGAGCAGTAAACAAAAAATCTTTGATTCTCATGAATTTAATAGTGCAACACTTCAGTAAGATGCAGGAGAGAAATAACACTGACTCAGGATGATTCCTTGTTTATAATTCAGCACTGAGTAATAGCAAATACAATTTCGAGCCAGGTGGCATTTGTAGCTTAAGTAAGCATTCGAGCCAGCTTTTTTAACCTAGAATTGTCCTCTTAATGACAAGACTCAGGCCTTGATTTCATTTTTATTTTGAAAGCAAGTTGGGAAAGTTTACAAAACCTGACCAAGAAAAAAATTATGAAAATATTTAACTGGATTCATCTTTGGTTACTTCTTATTGCAGTTCCAATAAAACATACACCATTTCTATAGTTCAAAAAAGTCAGAAGGTCAATCAACATAAAAACAAGACGTGCTTTCTTTACATATTCATAAATATCCGCAATATTAGAAAAGTTGTTTCGCAAAGATTTCTTTTTCTGGCAGTGTTAACTTACTATTATACACAGGCTACAAACCTCTTCCTAAGCCTTTAATTACAAGTTGAGCTATTTACAGTCTGCAAAATATTAAGACGTAAAACTCCTTCATAAATACGAAAATAGATCATCTCGCAAAGGTCTTTATACTTAATCAAATATCTGGCTGCCCCTCCTCCCAAAAAAAAAAAAAAAAAAAAAAGGTTATTTGTTTTGCATAGAAATGTAGTGACATGCAATATAAACAATAGCATTAAGTGCAAACAGGAATTATTCAAGTGTCTTTTAGTTGTACTGGCAAAAAATACCAATGCTCTGTTACACATAACACATCAATGCCTCTCCAACAAGTACAAGTCTGCTGCAGCCCCTTGTGGCTGCGCTGCTTTTGAAGGGCAGCAATTCACATGCATTCTCTGGGCTGCGTTTCATCAACCTGCAACCACAACGAAAATAGCTTATAACAGACATTTAAATGAATTCAGTACAGAGAGATTTAAAGTGAATTTAAAACATCTTTGATCTCGTCACGGAGATGCGTAGCAGGAACGGCTCCCGTGGAGTCGAAGTCACGGTAAAATCCGATCACAGCAGAACTCTGTCGCATCACTGTAAAACAAGGAGTTTGCTAACCATGTGTTCATCAGTAGCTGTCAGAAAATGGCCCCCTGTCAAAAAGCAACCTCAGGTAGGCAGAAAACCTAGGTTTGCTAGGTGCAACCTAGATTCAGCTTTACACAACCAAAGGGATGAGATGCAGTGAGTTCCAACTGCATCCAGACCCTTGGAAACACTGGGTTTCAGCAACCACTTAGCTATTTCTAAAAATTACTTCTTACTCCAGTTTCATACACATGCCTCTTCCCATGCAGACCAAGAATCCAGGAAAAGGCCTGAGCTGCTAGTCCTTGGAATTTCTTTTTCTGACATCTCCACCTCAGTACAAAGAGCCAGAAAAGTCGACAGACGTGCCCAGTGCACGTCAGCTGTTTGTGCTTAGAGCAGACATCTAAGAAAATAAAACTTTTAGCCATGCTGCTTTGTAAGAGCTGTTCAGGGCAGGGAAACACTGTAAGAGTGGTGTAAGAGAACAGATGAGGTCACTGCAATGGGTGCCACAGAGGGCAACAGGCTTGGTGATGAGGTGTCAGCTGACAGCCAGGGCTCCCGGGAGCCACAAGGCAGCCAGAGGTGTGCGTGTGCTCTCTGATGAGGCTGCAGGCTGCTCCAGGATGCTGGGCAGCTTCCCTCAGCCTGGTGATCCAAAAGTAAACTTACTCATTATTGCTTTTTTTTTGTCTGAAGTCACGCACTTAAATGCACCTTGTGACAACAGAAGCTGGTGCTGATGGTTTCCCTCCTGGAAGATTACAATTGTATCAAAGATAAAAGTATTAAAAAAAAAAAAAGAAAAAGAAAAAGCAAGCAGGCATAAGGCAGGCAACTCTGGCAATCGAGTTCTGCTGTTTCTCTGTCCTCAAAGGAAGTTACACACAACACAGTGCCAGCTGTACAAGCTGCTCTGCACTCTGCAGACACGATACAGAATCCAGACTATTCTACAGATCAGCACCTTCAAGAGGCAGAGGGGTGTGGGCCAAAAGGGGTGATCTTAATGAGCACAGGCATTTTCTCTTTCAAACTGCCAACAGCTGCCTAATCTGAATGGACTGTGCTACATAACTCAGCAACACTGGGTTTCTCATTAAATTCATTGCAGCCACTGCAAAGGGAGAACCGCTGCTCAGGTTAACACACACTTCACAAGACAGAGTCATAATTGTAACTCATGGAATAATTACCTACACCTCTGGAAGGATAAAAGAAAGAACTAAGGCTTTCTCCAACCTTTCTTTGAGATGGGAGAAGAGTAGAAATAGTCTGGCTTCCATCAGAGACTAGCTTACATTATCCATCCTTACAAGAGAGCAGGAAGAGAGTGTAACAGGCTACCTGGATGAAATTCTGGACTCTCTGCTGCATCACCATCTGCTCAGCAGGCATGCAATGCATACCTCACTTAGGAATGATAATATAGGTTAAAAAAAAACCCCATAAAATAAAATCCCATATTGTTGGGATGATGATAATGGAAAAGGATGTTGCACAAACCTCATCACAGAACAAGCTTTCCCCACGCATCGCGTCCCAGAGCGGGGATCACTGATGCTGGTTCCAGCAAGCAGCATTAAAAGCTCATGTTGCTGCTTCTTTCACATGTACCTGCTGGTGAAGGAAAGTAAAAAAAATAATATCAAAAAATAAAAAGATCATCCTATTTAGTGACAGGAGAAGCCAAAAACAACAGCAGCTTCTTTCTGTAGAGGGGGAAAAAAAAAAGTTAATTTGGGACAAGCTGATTTTCTTTAGTTTGACAATTCAAAGCCCTCCTGTGAGTCATCCTCTCTAAGAGCACTTGTGTGGCCACAACACTGCTGGCAACTTCCCCTGAGCAGGGGATCACTGTCTTCTGTCAAGCAGCTGGTTTTAAGTGAGGAGCCATCATTACTGCAGTGGAATCAGTGAGATGGGATGTTGTACCAGAGAGGGAGGTGAATGTGACCCTTCTAGCTTAGTGATAATAGTCAACTGGGATGTAGTTACTGTATTTAAAGATTCTGCAGGAACAGATCATGATGTTCATTCAGTTCTTCAGAGATAAGAGCACATCCACCCCCCCCCCCAAAAGCTCAGTACAACTAGTTACTCTTAAGTTTCTTCAGAAGCCCAGAAATCACAATGCCTGCAATATGCTCTCTGTGCCCTGGGCAAATCTTCTCCACATTTGGGCTGAGATACATGAAGAGCTGTACAAGGAAGAGAGCTTCCCTGCACTAATGCATTAAACATCATTACCAAATCCCAAGGGAAAATGAAACACCAGGGAACAGATTCTTCTTGTTAATTGCAAAGTATTTGTCATGTGACTCAGCCCACAGATTGTGACCAGCATGAGGGGTTTTGTTTTTGCTGCTTTTGAATGAAGAGCTTGTTTAATGCTGCAACAGCATTCACAGCAGCTCTGGAACCAGAGAGCATTCCTATCTGCTCAACATAGCTCTGAAAGACCTCTGTGCCTGTTTCTAAAACAGAGGCTCCAACTCACGTGCACTGCTGCAGAATTAATGAAAAATCTGCAGTGGCTTAGAGCAGCTGGTCAGTCAGAGAAAGAGGGAAAACCTAAGGGTCATTCTTTCTACTCTACATGGAGCTTAAGGCCTTGAAATACTCCATGCTGGAAATCCAGGTCAAACTGTTTACACGGTGCCTGCTCTGGCTGCTGCCTCTTGGAAAGGCTGTGGGGCTCACATGGCCATTCTGGCTGGAGTAGTTCCCCCTCCTATAGTAAATCAGGAATGGGAATAAGCACAGTTTGAAATAAAGTTTTATAAAATAATCAGTCTCTCCAGACACTGTCTGCAGCAATCTGTTTGACAGGCAGCTCCCACCATCTGCTGAGTCTCTTTCAAATGTGAAGCCCAGCACTTGAGAAAAACAGAGTTTAAGCAACTGGGAACAACTGTTCCCTCAAGGACATGTTCAGTTTGAGCCCTCTCTTCATATGTCACAAGTTGACTCTGTGCTGCCACTTGCTGAGATGTTGGAGGAGGTCTGAGGCAACAGGGCAGGACTGTCCCCATCCTGTTCCCTGAAGGGCCATGCCTCTCTTTTCAGCTCGTTGGAAGGACTAACACTGAACAGAGGCTTTGTGGACTCTAACAGAGTAATTTTCAGTAGATCATCTTCCACCTCCATCTCTTCAGATGGGAGACAGCCTGCAGACACTTGTGGGGGGCCACGTCCCTCAGAGTTCACTGAATTCTCAACTGGGAGCTTTTTGTAAGATAGAGGCTCAGGCTGGGCCAGCACTAATGGTTGGTTACATGCTGGAGCTCCACACGTGTTCTCAACAAGGCAAAACCCATTTTCCTCCTGGGCCACTGGCCCATCTGAACAGTCCATATCCTCTTCTTGTCCTGGTGCAAGAAGAAATTCTGGTCTGTGATGCTTGGCGTGAAAGGGGGGAATCTCTGACACACCATATTTACTGCTACTCAGGAGTTTTTGCCGAACCTCTGCACCAAGCTGAGCTGGGTCACACCTGCCCACGGTTGAAGACAGTCCTCCAAACAGGCCATATTCCT